TTTTGATTTTTAATTGGATGGAAATCTGATGAAAATCGTCGGATTATAATCATCGTTAATTTCTTCGCATCTATTAACTGTGCTCATATGACTCTTCACTTTTTATCTGCGTGCATTACTTCAACTGAATCATCCATTTAAATCTCTCATTACCTGTTAATCGATTTTAATCCCTCATCATTTGTTTCATCGGTTTTAATCTATTATTACTTACTGATTGATTTTAATCGATTTTCTTATGAAACCGCGAAAATTTGTGACTTACTCGAGATTCGAACACAAAACCCATATTTTTCGACCACTTCTTCGTATTTCTCGTATTTAGAAACTATGAAGTTGCCGATGCACCAAACTTCGGCATTCAAAGTATGTCTGGAAGTCCTATTTAAATTGTTTTCTTCGAAATTGCGCAATTACATTCAAAAATCGATTAAAATCGATTACAAAAAAAAATAATTGATTATAATCAATTTTTTTCTATAAAAAATCAACATTCATAGAAATATAATCGATTTTAATCGATTTTCTCTATTGGAAGATATTACCATTCATGCAGCTGTAATGGATTTTAATCAATTAAACTTAAATAATCGATTTTAATCAATTTTACATCTGAAAAACAATCATATCCATAGAACTATAATCGATTTTTATCGATTAAAGTTATCTTTATAAAAAATCGATTAAAACCTATTAAATTTCTAATCGATTATTTGCATTTCTTGAAATAAAATCGATTTTAATCGATTACAGTTATCTTCATAAAAAATTGATCAAAATCTATTAAAGGACCCTGTCGGTTTTTGTCACCTAGTTAGAACAAGAATGTTCTGCATGTGGTTTTGTAGAGAATTTAAAGGCGCATCGAATGGTATATAGGAAGTCTAATTTTCATTGAGCCTTAATGTCCTAAGGACCCATATACTGCTCATCATTCTATAGCACATAGCAGAGATGGAGCCGGTACCGGTAACCGGCCGGTCCGGTCCGGTACCGAACTGGATTTTTATCGACCGGTCGACCGGTATTTACCGGCCCAAACCGGTCTGACCGGTCGAAACCTATCTGACCGATCGAAATCGCCTTATATCGGCCTATATTTTTCACTTTCTGCTCTATGATGGTAATCATATGAAAATACAACTGGCACCAAGACTAGTTCCACTGATCATACAAGAATTTATTTAAAAAGCAGTTTTCAGAATGTCCATAAGTGAGACTATTGTTATCAATGGTGTAACATAATGCCAGTATGCGTGAAAATACGAAAGTAGCCCGCAAGAGAGTTCACTATGAAACAAGATTTCATTTCAAGCCTCAACCTGTTGTGGGTAGGTTGGATTTTCACTTGTAACCTGACGTATCATCAGCATCCTGTTTAGTACCGGTAGACCGGTCAAACCAACTTTTTCCGATAAATCGGTTTCGGTCGGTAAACAGGACTGGACCGGTTTTGCCGGTATAGATTGGTTTTACCGGTAGATCGGCCGGTCCGGTTCGGTCTGATTGCTTTGAACCAGTACGGGTACCGGTCTGAAAAAAACTAGACCGGTTCCATCTCTGTGGGGTACCGGAATATAGAAACATTTGCTTTTTTGCATTGAACGCAAGCTCCATATAGATTCTTTTACTGTTTTACGCATACATAACATCTATATCATTGGAAATGAAATTCACCAAAGAATTTTAAAAAAAAGAGGACCACTATTTGCAACCTTATTCCCGTACCCCGCTCCAGGGGTCTCGGGGTCAAAAAACTTTTTTCAATCTGCAAAGACCTTATTTATATTAAATGACGAGGCATACTTTACTGGTTATTTATACACAAAATTTGTTACCAGGAGTACTAAGTATTGCTAAGATTTTGTCAAGTTACCTGGACCATGATTAGCTAAAATAGGTTATTCCGCACCACCATTATATACATTATCAGTCTGGCCATACTGTTCCGAAAAAATTGATTTATGACACAAATAGAGGCCAATGATGTGCAGTTTTTGAGAAAGTTTCGCGTTGGTACTCAATTGTCCTGTGGCACAGGATTGAGCACACTGAAATATTATTTTCTCAATAAGTAGGGTATACCTATAGAAGGTGGTCTCTCTTAAGTATAACATAGTTCCATTGAAACTTATCGATTATAAAAAATAGAAAAGCATTCATAACTGTATTGAATTTTGTCTAGAAAAGGAAATACTCCTATATTTATGACCAAGGATCATAATAGCTCCACTATTTCTATGTGCTATAGAATGATGAGCAGTATATGTGTCCTTAGGACATAAAGGCTCAATGAAAATTAGACTTCCTATATACCATTCGATGCGCCTTTAAATTCTCTACAAACCCATATACAGAACATTCTTCTTCTCACTAGGTCACGAAATCCGACAGGGTCCTTTCTAATCGATTATTTGAATTTCTTGAAATAAAATCGATTTTAATCAATTAAAGCTAGGGATGCACCAATTCCAGAAAATTGACGTGAAATATGATATTTTTTTGCGATATGAAGAACCACCAATTCCGGCCAATTTTTTGTGTTAAACTTGACTGCCTTCAATCGATCTACCTGTAGTGATTGCCGGATTCCACTGAATACGATTAATAGATGTTACAATTGGTCGGAATTGGTCGAAATTTTAGGATTTTTAGCCAATTCCGACCAATCTGACATCTTTTAATCGTATTGAGTGCAATCCGACCACCGTTACAGGTACCGCGATTCAAGATGATCAAGTTTAGCAAAAAAAATTGGTCGGAATTGATGGTGCTTGGTATCGCAAAAATAGCATCTTTGAAGCCAATTTTCTGGAATTGGTACATCCCTAATTAAAGCTATCTTCATAAAAACTCGATTAAAATCTATTAGATTTCTAATTGATTATTTGAATTTCTTCAATTAAAATCGATTTTAATCGATTAAAGTTATCTTCATAAAAAAATCGATTAGAATCTATGAAATTTCTAATTGATTATTTGAATTTGTCGAAATAAAATCGATTTTAATCGATTAAAGTTATGATCATAAAAACTCGATTAAAATCTATTAGATTTCTAAGCGATTATTTGAATTTCTTGGCAAAAAAATCGATTTTAATCGATTAAAGTTATCGCCACAAAAAATCGATTAAAATCTATTAGATTTCTAAGCGATTATTTGAATTTCTTCAATTAAAATCGATTTTAGTCGATTACAGTTGTCGCTATAAAAAATCGATTAAAATTGATTAGATTTCTAATCGATTATTTGCATTTCTTGGAAAAAAATCGATTTTAATCGATTAAAGTTATCTTCATAAAAAATCGATTAGAATCTATGAAATTTCTAATTGATTATTTGCATTTCTTGAAATAAAATCGATTTTAATCGATTACAGTTGTCGCTATAAAAAATCGATTAAAATTGATTAGATTTCTAATCGATTATTTGAATTTCTTGGAGAAAAATCGATTTGAATCGATTAAAATTATCGCCACAAAAAATCGATTAAAATCTATTAGATTTCTAAGCGATTATTTAAATTTCTTCAATTAAAGTCGATTTTAATCGATTACAGTTGTCGCTATAAAAAATCGATTAAAATTGATCAGATTTCTAATCAATTATTTGAATTTCCTGGAGAAAAATCGATTTTAATCGATTAAAGTTATCATCATAAAAAATCGATTAAAATCTATTAGATTTCTAATCAATTATTGGAATTTCTTGGAAAAAAATCGATTTTAATCGATTTAAGTTATTGCCATAAAAAATCGATTAAAATCTATTGGATTTCTAATTGATTATTTGAATTTCTTGAGATAAAATCGATTGAAATCGATTTAGTCAAAGAAAATCGATTAAAATCAATTACTTTCTCAAAATTAATCGAAAAATGTCGTATTTAATCGATTTTTTGTGATTTTTTTATAAAAAATCAAAATTAATCGAAAATTTCATGATTTATTTTTACGTGGGAACGGTTTTTTTTCTTTAGCTTACTTTATCGTCATCATCTCAAGCATCAATGGAAATTGATTCATTTCACGAAGGTATTGATTTCTATTCAACAATAACTCGTGCTCGTTTTGAAGAAATTAATGATCATTTATTTCGTTCCACACTTGAACCTGTTGAAAAGGCTTTACATGATGCTAAAATGGACAAATCAAATATACATGAAATTGTGTTAATTGGTGGTTCAACACGCATTCCAAAAGTACAAAAACTTCTACAAGATTTCTTTAATGGTAAAGAATTAAATAAATCAATTAATCCAGATGAAGCTGTTGCTTATGGTGCTGCTGTACAAGCAGCTATATTAACAGGTGATAACTCTGAAGATGTTAAAGACATAATTTTACTTGATGTTGCACCACTATCATTGGTAAGTTCATTGAAGGAAAAATTCTTTTCTAAATTTTATTTTTGTGATCTTTTCCAGGGTATTGAAACTGCTGGTGGTATAATGACAGTAGTAATTAAACGTAATACAACAATTCCAACAAAACAGACACAAACATTTACAATTTCTTCATATGATCAATCTGGTGGTACTGTGGCAGAATTAGTTATCTTCGATAGAGAAAATTCAACTAAACAAACAGAAACCATGACAACTTCTTCAAATACACAATTTAGTGCTGATGTTAAAGTATTTGAAGGTGAACATTCATTGACAAGAGATAATCATTTACTTGGTTATTTCATACTTTCTGGTATTTCATTAACATCTGATAGTGTACCACAAATTGAAG